AAGGGTAAAATGGTAGTAGTAATAATACTGGTTAAAAATAAAAATGTAGTAATTGAAAAGGTAAAATCAGGTGATGAAAAAAGAAAAAAATTAGTTTCTTAAGTAAAAGGTGAAAAAAAAATAATGTGCAGTAGTGAAGGTCCATCACTTCTTCTACTCTTCTGTTTGGCATGCCTTAGTCCTGTCACGTATTCAGGAGAGTGTTGAAGTTCTCTGCGGTACACTGTTCCTCCATGTTGTAAACCACAGTCCTGATTTTAAAGCAGGCTGTATCTGTTTCCCAGACTGCCCTTATTTGTGTTTATGGAAGAGTCAGTTTGTGGTTCAGCCTCTGGGTGGCAGTGCTTCTGGATTGACCTCCGAGGCTGTAAGTCCTCTCTAGCCAGTATTTAGGTTTTGTTTTCCCTATCACACTTAATACTGGTTTGGGAGAGTCGACTGCCCCAGAGCTGGTTCTTTGGTCATTACTCCCCACTCTGATTCCCAGGTTCCACAAAAACAACTTTCCCCTGCAGTCTCTGTGACTGACCCCAATTGGGCAATCCTATGTATTGGGTCTTAATCAAACGCAAAGATTTAAGGGGGAGAAAAAAAAAGAGCCTGAGAAGGTGCCCGAATTCGCACCCCTCCACAGTCCAGCTCTGTGCGCAGTCTCTTCCGCACGTCCTCTCTCCCCTGGCACTAAGCAGCCGGCACACTGGCAAAATCCGAGGCTGCCTTTTTGCACCCAGTCCAGCTATGGGCTTATTTTTAGAGTTCCCTTCTGCCAGCAGCCCTGCGGGACCCCTTCCACACTCGCGGATCACGCTGGCCCCAATGGCCGCGGACTTTGGGGGGCACAGACTATCCCCCACGCGCGTTCCTCTCTCCAATCTGAATTGCAAACCGCACCTTTATCTAAGCGAAATCTGACCTTTCCGTGAGGAGGAGTAGGGCTTGTCTGAGTTCATGTATTCGTGCTGCTTGAGATCAGGTGTTCCTGGGTTATTAGCTAATCCCTGAATGCCATGGTTTCAGGGTCTCTGGATTTATACGCTTCCAATATCAGCCACTCAAGGTGGCACGGTCTCCGCGGCTGAGCCAGCTGCTCCAGGAGAGATTTCAGTGGCAGTGGAGGCTGCCCAGTTAGGGGAGCCCGATCACACAGTCTCCAACAGTCCCCTTTGTCCTGGAGTCCTCTGCCTTTCCCGGCTGCAAACTGTCTCCCAGCTGAATCTACTCTGCCAATTCGGGCTATGTTACTCGTTTCAGCTGTTCACCTTATCTGCTCCGGGACAAGGCACGGGACACGTCCGTCTATACCGCCGCCATGTTGTCTCTCCTCAGAAGATTTCTTTAAAAAGGCAGCTGACGTTGGCCTTTTTAAACTAGAATTTTTCATTCAGGGCCAGAACTATATGAGTAGAACTACTCTAGTCCCTATAAAAGGCATAAATTTGCAGCATTTTTGCATGAAAAACAACATTAAGTTACAAAAATTAAGCCACATCTGCTGAACATTTCCCTGACAGGTGATTTAGTTGAGTAGATCCAGTGCCTGGCTGTGTAGATTAACCTACCCAAAGATGAACTTGGCTAGCTAGCTCCAGGCTACTACAAGTAAAGCATACAACCTTCCACATGAGATACTTAATGCTCACCAGAGACAGGCAAGATATCCAGGCCATGTTCCACTTGATGAGACTCTTATGTCTTTTCAGATCTGCACTTCAGCAGATCCTATGTTACCTATGGGAATGTAATCCCTATCATTTAGACTGAATTCACACTGCAGAAAGTTAAGTGGGGGTTTGGGGAATGATCTGGTAAATTTGATCAGTGTAAAGAAACTACGGTCTTCATTTCATCCACTACTTCTTTATCCAACCAAAGCCTGCTTTTTTGGGTGTGATTTTCATATAGTTAATATAGCCAGACCACTACCTCAATTTATACAGAGAACAACAAACTTGCCATCATTGTCAGGTTATATATGTAGAAACTACCCGAATGAAAATGCAAATAAGTCTTGAAATAGTTTCTTACGTCATTTAGCTTTCAATGGAATGGTATACACAAAATGAAATATAACCAGTTTCCTCTTTGATGAGTCATAATTTAAGATATATAGGGCTTTTGTGTTGCTAAAAGTAGTGTCATTTAGCCCTCTCTCTCTCCCTTAAATATCAATGTCATTGCAAACACTTGCTTACACTCTTTTGAAATGACCTACATGGTATTTTTTAAAATGGGAAGATTTAAAAAAAATAAAATGGGAAGATATGTTTAGGACAGTGTTTGACTTGAGAAACAAAGAAAAGTAGACTGCTCACTCAGTTCAGTTGGAAATGGATGGGGTCTTTTGATAAGACATCAGTCTTCTAGACAACCAAATGGTTTCTACCTTTCTTAAAGAAACAAAACAAAACCGTGGGGATAGCCTCCTTCTTTATATCCCCTCCCAGTCTTGTAGCTAAGCTTAATATTGTGTCTGAGTATATTCTGACTCCAACAGGTTAGTCCAGTGGTATGTATTGAACTTCCTTGTATGTAGGATATATTCTTGCTACTGAGGTTACTATTATAAAGTAAACAAGAAACCCTCAAGTTTTTCACCATTTAGTTGGGGAAATACACATATCACTGTGATCATGGTAATTCAGAAATATTAGGGAATGTGGGATGATGGAAAAAGTCAGGTACTGTGTAATTATGCTCAAGTCAACAGCAATGGCAATCTACATCTATATAGCACATCATAGTTTACAAACATACTTATTGCTGAACTTTATGTTGAAATTTTTACAGCCTTGTGCAGCAAATTTAGTTATTTAAGGTTCACATATAAAGTTCAGAGAGATTAAGAGATTTTCCCCAAGGTCACAAAGTTAGTAGGTGCTGGAGCCAAGACTCCATTCCAAGTGTTCCATTACATTGATTGATAAGAACATTGTTGACCAATTTTGAACTATGAAATAGGCAATTTTGTGTGTTCAACCTTAAGTTCAGGGTTCTTTCTACCTTAGAACACCTATCTCACTTTAGGTCTTCTATCCATAATGAGATCGGTTTGAACTTACTGATAGAGAGGGGCCTTTTTTATCTGTTTTAAACCCACCATTAAAGAGGAAGAGGCTGTTGAGAGTTAGGCAAACAGCAGGCTCTTACTCTTTAGCCTTCTCTCCCTTAAATATGAGAATACATACTTTTTAATAACAGCCAATCCTCTCCTCCCCCTTTCCTGAGTATAGGGCATATATTAGATCAGTGATTCTCAAAGTAGGATCCAGGAACCAGCAGCATTAACATCACTTGATAAATTACTATAAATTCACATTAATTGACCCTGCCCCAGAGCTACTGAATTAGAAACTTTGGGGATAGAGCCCACGATCTGAGTTTCAATGAGCCCTATAAGTAAGTGTGATGCATACTACAGTTTGATAATTACTATATTAGGGTATAGTTTGTTTGTCTATACCTGTGAGAATAATTGTATGCAGAGCCATACTATACAACCTATTAGTATATCGGCAAACAATTGTATTTTATATTTTTAATACTACCACCTTTGACACTCATAAAAGATTTCTTAATGGATTAATTCTCACCCTAGTCCAGGAGATGCTACAACAAAGGACAACCTTTAGGGGAAATGAAGGTTAATAATTTTGACCAGAAAATAAAGCCCCATAGATTTTCATTTAACTAGAAAAACTCTAACAACACAGGAATAATACCACTTGGTTAAATTTAAAGAGAGAATTCAAACTTGGCCAGCTAAGAGGACAAAAAGGAAAATTAGAAGGACATATTTGTACCATGCTGCTACTGTGAAAAGCTTTGAAAAATAATTAGAGAGCAACTGTTGTTGGAGTTCATCTCTTTCTGCCTTACATAATAGAAACCTTAATCTTGTGCTTATTGCTTGTTCCTGTCAGCCCCTAATTTTAACTATTTAAGCATAAATTGCCAAAAGGAGATAAAATTGTGGGTTTCCAAAAGCCAGATGTTATAAATAGAAGATAAAAACTGAGATAAAATGGAAATGCTCAAAATGGCTTATTTTACATGGAAAATTTACTTCATAAATTATTTTTCCATTATTTATGAAAGTATGCTTATACTTTAGCCTATCATAAAACTGCTTTTTTAAGTTTGGAACCTTTTTTGAGACATATCTGAAAATATTTAAAATTGGTTTTGATCATTATTGACTTACTGTGTACCATCTATATTCTGTAATTCTTATGTGCATTATATGAAACAATGCATTTCACCTCAATCCAATATATTTATAGAATATTTTATTTTTTAAGGAAAGATTTTATTATATCCCAGTTAGTTTAGGTTCCTATCATATATATATATTTGTATGTGTTTGCACCTGTATGCACATAAAATAAGTGGTCAGTATATTCTTGTTTCCCACTTGGAAAATTGATCTTCTTACGTAATTTCTTTCTTTTTAATCCTCACTGGATAATATTTTTTCCATTGCTTTTTAGAGAGAATGGAAGGGAGGGATAAAGGGGGAAGGAGAGAGAGAAACATCGATGTGAGAGACACATTGATTGGGACCCGGGATCAAACCTGCAACTGAGGTACTTGCCCTTGACCAGGAATTTAACCCGCAGCCCTTGACAGGTGCACGGGTCAATGCTCTAACTACTGAGCACATCAGCCAGGGCTCTTATGTACTAGTAAATTCTTTACATAAAAAAGGCTAGGTGTTAAATTGAAGGGTCCTTGCTTTGATAAAATAGCCACATTCTTCCTTCCTATTAATCTTCTATATTATAATAGGTCTACTTTAGAAATGTGATACTGTTTCAGTGTCTTGAAAATACTCTTGTTTCTCATTCATTTGATAATATTGCTTCTGTAATTACCTTATATTTGACAAGAAGTCTTAGAAAAGATACTTTCTATGGGTGAGAAAATTGCTCTGCCTTACACCCAACTAAACATTAATCACACTGAACAAAGTTAAAATGTATGTTTATGTCCTTGTTTTTTAGGTGGACTATGTATTTACAGATAAAACTGGAACACTCACTGAAAACAGCATGGAATTCATTGAATGCTGCATAGATGGGCACAAGTATAAAGGTGTAACTCAGGAAACTGATGGACTCTCTCAAACTGATGGACCTTTAACATATATTGATAAAGCAGATAAGGTGGCATTTTCTACATTGCCATTTTACTTTGAGAAATCAACCTATGTATCCATGTGTTAACCCTGCATAGTAGAAATGAATTTTAGCTTATGACAGACTTTTGAATAACCATTTGTTTCTTCTCTCATTTCACCTTTCTTGTTTTACTAACACCTCTGGAATTTGTAAACAAGTAGAGGAAATTATGGGAAATTACATTGGGTAAAATTTCACCTCCCTGTCTGTGTGATCATAAATTTTTTTGTGCTTTGTCTTTAAGATATGA